TTTAGGGTCTGGAAGGACCTGGTGTTGGTCTGGAAGGTGGTGTTTGGTCTGGAGGTGTCGTGGCTGCTGTTCTCTCGCGGTTGGGGTGCTGAGGTGAAAAACCTCTCCCCAGGCAGCAGCAGGATGGTGGTGGTGGGGTTGTGAAGGGCTGGGAAGGGCTGGCAGTGATCAGCTGCTCTTATCTCTGTAGATAACGCAGACAGAGGTGCAGCAGGGGCAGCAGCAGTTCAGCCAGTTCACGGATGGACAGGTAAGAGCTGGGGGGCACAAGGGGTTCAGGGTCCTAAATCCTCATTTTCCTCCTCATAAAACACTGCTGGCCAGCAGCAGGGTGAGGGAATGTTGTGCCAGGTGGCACAAATCCACAATCCAGGTGGATTTTTTAAAGTTCTGCTGCCTTTGCTCTGAATTAATCCAACCCCTGGCACTCTGGGTGAAATCCTAAATTCCTAATTCAGGAATAAAAGTTTTAATATCTGGGTGTTGTTTAAGTATCATAAATAATGGAATGGTTCGGGTTGGAAGCACCTTAAAGCTCCAACCATGTGGGGGACACCTTCCACTGTCCCAGGGTGCTCCAAGCCCTGTCCAGCCTGGCCTGGGACACTTCCAGGAGATCCTGGGGCAGCCACAGGAAAGGATCTGGGAAATCCAGAGGGAATGTTGTGCCAGGTGGCACAAATCCACAATCCAGGTAGATTTTTAAAGTTCTGCTACCTTTGCTCTGAATTAATCCAATCCCTGGCACTCTGGGTGAAATCCTAAATTCCTAATTTAAGGAATAAAAGTTTTAATATCTGGGTGTTGTATAAGTATCATAAATCATGGAATGGTTTGGGTTGGAAGCACCTGAAAGCTCCAACCATGTGGGGGACACCTTCCACTGTCCCAGGGTGCTCCAAGCCCTGTCCAGCCTGGCCTGGGACACTTCCAGGAGATCTTGGGGCAGCCACAGCTGCTCTGGGAAATCCAGAGGGAATGTTGTGCCAGGTGGCACAAATCCACAATCCACGTGGATTTTTAAAGTTNATCTCTGTGGGGAAAATTCCTGTTTATTCCTTAATTTTTGGCAGGATATGATTGATTGGGGTGCAGGATTTGATAAGGGGTGCAGGATTTGATAGTGGTGCAGGATTTGATAAGGAGTGCAGGATTTAAGAGGGGTGCAGCATATGTTAGGCCTTCAAAGCCTCCGAAAATATCTTTGGTTTTTGCAATCTCTGTGGGGAAAATTCCTGTTTATTCCTTAATTTTTGGCAGAATATGATTGATTGGGGTGCAGGATAAGATAGGGGTGCAGGATTTGATAAGGAGTGCAGGATTTGATAAGGGGTGCAGGATTTGATAGTGTTGCAGGATTTGATAGAGGTGCAGGAGATGTTAGGCCTTCAAAGCCTCCAAAAATATCTTTGGTTTTTGCAATCTCTGTGGGGAAAAATCCTGTTTATTCCTTAATTTTTGGTAGGATATGATTGATTGGGGTGCAAAATAAGATAGGAGTGCAGGATTTGATAGGGGTGCAGAATTTGATAAGGAGTGCAGGATTTAAGAGGGGTGCAGGATATGTTAGGCCTTCAAAGCCTCCAAAAATACTTTTGGTTTTTGCAGTCTCTGTGGGGAAAATTCCTGTTTATTCCTTAATTTTTGGCAGGATATGATTCATTAGGGTACAAGATTTGATAAGGGGTGCAGGATTTGATAGTGGTGCAGGATTTGATAGTGTTGCAGGATTTAATAGAAGTGCAGGATATGTTAGGCCTTCAAAGCCTCCAAAAATATTTTTTGTTTTTGCAATCTCTGTGAGGAAAATTCCTGTTTATTCCTTAATTTTTGGCAGGATATGATTGACTGGGGTGCAGGATTTGATAGGGGTGCAGGATTTGATAAGGGGTGCAGGATTTGATAGTGTTGCAAAATTTGATAGAGGTACAGGATATGTTAGGCCTTCAAAGCCTCCAAAAATATCTTTGGTTTTTGCAATCTCTGTGGGGAGAATTCCTGTTTATTCCTTAATTTTTGGCAAGATATGACTGATTGGGGTGCAGGATTTGATAGGGGTGCAGGATTTGATAGTGGTGCAGGATTTGATAGGGGTGCA